CCCCCCCCCCAGTTCTACATATCTATCTCTTGGTCAAGAAATAAATCTCAATTCGGTTTAAAAAAAAAAAAATTGGCGGTGGGTAGGAGAAGTGTGCACAACCCTTTTTCCAGAGAAGCAGGTGAGCTGCAGGAATAAAGACTATATTCCCGGATCATCTGTAGCTTCTCAGAAGGTGGGCCACCCCCTTCTTCCCGGCTGTGCTGGGGTTACAGTTGCTGGTGGTGTGGGATTGGAGGCCTCCAGTGTATTACCCTGGAGCCAGTAGTTCCGGGTCGCTGCCCCTTTGCCAAGCCTATGTGCAATACCCCCTCGGTGCTTTAGTGCAGGAAGCCCATTCCAGGAAGCATGGGAATGCCATCTTTCGATTTCGGGACTTGCGAGTAAGGCCGGGAAGAAACTGGCCTATGCATTTTTTTTTAAACGTTTATCTTTACTATCTTACTCGTTTATAAAATTCTAGTTCCTTGAGTGACTGAAACACCAATATTTTTATCACTTACTCATTCGCACTTTAATTTTCTTCCTTCCAGACTTGTTCTCTGGACATCTGTGGGAGCGAGGGCTAGAGCAGGGCGAGGACGGGCTGCGGGGCTGCGCGCTCCTTCTGATGGTGTTGGCGGCTCCGTTCTCCCCTTTCCCCTGCCTTCGCCTCCCCTTTTCAGTTTGCTGTTCAGAGAACTCGTGCTGAGGGGAGTTGAAATTCACAGGCCAGGGCATGTCTTTTATTTATTTAATTATGTTGCCCAACAGAACTTGATTGTAAATAAAAAAAATCTGTTATGTACTTTTCACACTCCATGCCTCTTGGTAGTTATTTTATTATTCTTTATCCTTAAGGGCAAAAAGCTGGGGTTTTTTCATTTGTTTTCCCGGTATTCATTCATTTGTAAATGATGGTTAATACTGTCCCCGTGCCTTTCCTTATTGTTCATTTAAGCCCAGGGTATTACTCTCTGTAAACATCAGCGTTCCAGTTTCACGTCATTTGCAAATCTTAACTGAAACCAGAAAAGGGTGTCTTCGGAATTTCGGCAGCTGTGCGGTTTGCTCCACGCTGCAGCAGTACGAGCTTCCTGTCCCTGTGCTGCAGACTTTGTTCACAGGATTGATAGTGAACTGTATGTGTCTCCCAGCTGCCGGGCCTCTTCTTTGCTGAAGGGGCATGAATTTCCTCATTGAAGAGTGATATATTCGTAGCAGCTCAGATATCTAGCAAGCGGCCGTGTGCCATAACAAATTAGGGTCTCCCTGATATATCCCACCCCCACCCCCAAGGACCCCTGTCCAGCCCATTACCAGACGGTAGCCCAGCAACTTGAGTCAGGATTCCATCATGATCTGGAGTCTCAGAGGCAGCCAGCAATCTCCAAAAAGCGGAAGGTGGGGATCCTGTTGCAGTCACCTTCAAGGAGGTAAGTCTCATTCTTCAAAAAGGCTGAAAGTAAACATTGTCATAGCCTCTGATTATCCCGGGGTTTTTTGTTTTTTTTTTTTTTTTGACCTTGGAGGGAAGCACGCCTGCTCTCTGCTCTTAACAAAGATGTTTCAGTTTGAGATCCATCCATACTGTAAAGCTCTCTTCAGGTCACCTGACTGCCAAGCCTGGGTTACAGGTATGGCTTCCATTGGGTGAAACATGTTTCCAGCCAGCTCATGGTCTTCATTCTTTTTCTCAGATCATCTGGGACCCTCCTCCAGTGCTGCTGGTTTCATTGGTCAGGGTGGGAGGTGGGCATGGGGGTTTTTAATTTCCCAGATGAATCCCGACTGGTTAGAGCTAGTGTGCTCCCCTGCAAGTGTTGTGCGCTTTGATCCAGACGTTAGAATATCTCGGGCTGAGAATTAAAGACTTTTAAAATTTATATTCCCTAGGTTGTTTCCCAAGATAGTGTGATATATCAAGTTCTGTGCCTTATTCTTATAGCACATACTGTGCACACATTCACTTTTACCTTTATCTTGTGAAGCCCCAATGCATCTTTCATATCACAGCACACGGGATATTTTGTGGGGACACTGGGGCAAGTGGATGAAGCTGCTCTCAGCTGGGAGGGGCCAGCCCAGGCCCCAGGGGCATGTTTGTTGGGAAATTCCAGGGTTTGGAGTGTACCAAGGTGTGCAGAGCTACTGTGTGTCTTCACATCTATAGCACAACCATGATCATTCGTGGTCTTGGGGAGTCGGACAATTTGAAATGTAGACCTGCAGCTCGCTGCCTGGGTGCAGCACCGGGAGAGAAGGGTGGCAGTGATGAAACCTCGTGCAAGACTGCTTGCCAGGCTGCAGAAGCCACAAATGTTTGTTTTTATGAGATGTCTTGGATAGTAATAAGGAAGCTATGGCACTCAAATTCTGTCAGATCTGAAGTGTATCCCATTTCACAAATGGGGGGAAGTTTCCCAGCGAAGCAAGAGGCTGTTCCGGAGTCCTGGCCCCCAGGTGGGCATTGGTGCCCCATCCAGCCCTCCACGTGAGCCAGCGAGAAGTGCCTTTTCGGGGGCGAGGATGAGCTGCCTGTGTTTGTCTTTATTCCACTGCGTCTTTTCTCTTGTGTCTTACTGTAAGGCTCATTCTCACTAGAAATCCCAAATTTTCAAGTCAATAAACTTTGGGAATCTTGAATAAAGTGAAATATATCTGTATTTGCATAGATTGTGTAGAAACACGTAGGATGTGTGGTACGTGCCAGTAAAAGATTGGACTCTGATCCAGAAAATGATTCTTGCCTCCCTCACCTCAGCAGAATTGGATTCTCTCACCTCAGGGAGCTCTGGTTTCCACCTATGCTGCTGAACTCTCCCGTGTTCACTCCAGACGCTTCTCGCATCCTGTCTGTGCTCCGGCCATGGTGGGCTCTTCAGACGCTCCCTGCTCTTACCTTGCTGGGGGCCGAGCTGCCCTCTTCTAACCCTGAGTGGCAGGCATGATGGGAACATCCACGTCTCTGGGGGCCCAGGACCCGAGGAGGTGAAGGAAACACCAGTGTAGCAAGGAGGCGAAGGAAACACCAGTGTACCTGCCACTCTGTACTATTGCCAGAGTACTTTACAGCAAGGTTCAAGCATGTCTTTTTTCCCATGAATCAGCGTGCATCCCAACCTAATAAGGACACCATGCCGTAATTACACCTCACAGAATTAACAGTGGCTCTGTCATCCACTATCCAGTCTATATTCAAATTTTCCTGACTGTTCCAGTGTTTTTTATGATTGGCTTGTTTATGATCACAACCTCTTAGAACCACGTGGTTCTAAAAAGTCGTAAGCCAGCAGAAGTCTCGGGATCAGCCATATCCTTGACACCTTGACCTTCACGTTGTGCTTGGCACACAGTGGGCACTCAGTAAAGTATTTAGTAGAACTGAATCAGCAAAAAAACCAAGTGAATCAGGATCCAGTGAGCTTTTTGCTGCATAACAAACTGCCATGACATGGAATGGTTTAAAACAAGTACTATTTCTCCTGATTCTGTGAGCGGGTATAGCCGGCTGGATTGGGGGCAACTGGTAGAGGGTGGCCTCACTCGTATCTGACTGTTAATGTGCCATCAGCAAGGGGAACAAGGATGATGCGGCAAGAAATCATCTGTGGGACCGCTTGTCGCTCTGCCTGGTCACCTCTGTTACACCCCACTGGCTAGAGCAGGTGGCACGCGCAGCCCTGCCTCTGAGTGGGGCTACGGAGCAGAGTGGGGACAGGGAAGGGACTCGCCTTGGCGGTTCTGGCAACTGATGTGCCACGCTGGATTTGGTTGACTTTCCTCATGTAAGCTCTGTGTCCCACGTGGGAATGTAGCCCTGGAGATGGCTATGTGCCAGGCTCTGGGGATTTGGTCCAACCCTAGGACCTGGAGAAGAGAGCAGGGGAATTCAGGCTTTGGGCTTCATTTTTCCAGAGAAATGGACTTCAGAGACAATGGAAAGGTATGCTTGTGAGCCAGGCCCATAGGAAGACAGGCTGTACGCGGTCTAGCTTCTAGATAGAAAGCCATACATTCCATTGCTCCCTGGAGTACGTGCCCAGGTGCTTCTAAGAGGCCGTAAGCCAGAGGTCTCAAGGTCAATCATATCCTTGACACCTTGACACTCACGTAGTACTTGGCACAAAGTCTTTATTTAGTAGAATTGAGTCAGCAAAAACAAAGTGAATCGTAACCAGCTAAAAGGAAGAGTAAGAGACAGTAGTTTAAAAAAATAAGAATAAACCACTTAGCAAGGGTAAATATTGTTTCATAGGAGTGTTGTGTATATAT